AGATCTTGCGTGATCGTAGGAATTTTTTTTGAAATTGCATGCTACGTTTCCCAACAGTTTGCACTAAGCCTCTAGTGGTAATTCCGTGATCTATCTCCTAAGCATGCTCATGGGTGATATGTGTGGTAGGATTAAATTTTTAATATGCATAGTTGCACACTCGTATTCCAACAACTTCAAGAAAGCATCGGATGTGATCTTCCCTTCTACGCGGTCACATCGACTGTCCCATTAATTCATCGAGTCTTTCTCACGCTCACTCTCAATGATCATGGTGTGCATGATCACGGCGGCCGTGATGATGTACGGAAGGATATCTTGATTCCAAAACCTAGCCGGTCCTTGCACAATAGCAAAGTAGGATTGCAAAATCCCCCAAGCCCTCTCCACATCTTTCCCCACAGCTGCTTGAGAAGTATGGAAATGTAGTTATTTCATCGGTGGTGATTCTTCATTGGCTAATCATGCAAAGAGTGGTGATCGCTGCAACACATTGATGTCATTGCAAGATCCAGGATCCCAGAATATGCATGCCAAATCCATGTCTCTTGATCGGACACGGCTTTAAGAATGATGGTGGCATCCTTTGAACTGACCATGCCATGTTGCCGTGTAGTTCTTCCACCTTCAGTGCATGCAATCAATTGAGTTGAGCATACCTGGAAACCCACGTGCTTTGTTCATCTCTAGAAGCCTCTGAATGTATTGGCGAGGCTCTCAAAATACTCCGCCCCGAACACTTCAATCACCGCCTTTGCAAATTTCTTGGCAAACAAGATTGAAGTGCTCTCTCCCATTAAGCAATGAGGAGAAATCTGGTCGACTGCTTGTCGGGGCCAAGGTGGTCGTTGCGCCGGCTAGGCCTCGAGGTGGTCTTCTCGATGCATCTGTCATCGCCGCGCTGTCCGAAGCCAGAAGTTCTGAAGGAGCGCCGGCTCGGCTCAGTCGTGATGGTGAAGTGGTAGTCAAGGCGACCGCTAATCAACCTCAACGGTGAGCAGTTAATCCCGAATTAGCGACTGCGACGGGGTTGTTGTGACTGTCCGGAGCGGTGGGATTGGGCAGTGGAGTTGCGGGTGGCCCCAGAGAGGATAGCGGGTTCACGAGGTTGGCGTGGAATGGCGAGGTCCCACCGACGGCAATCATAGGGGATAGGCGGGTGCGGTAGTGACAATTTTCAGCGTGGCAGTTGGGCTGCGTGTGGCGGCAGCTTGGTGGAGTGCTGCTAATATGCAACACTAGGGACTAAAATATGAAGTTGCCAAAAAAAAGGGCAATGTCATTTACAGACACATCATCTGTTGAAACATTGTCTTTGGTTGAAATACCCTAAAAAGCAGATTTTTGAGCACTTGCCCTATTATACACTATCTGTTGAAGATGCTCGAACGCTTGAGGGGGAGACATCCAGGATACCTTCTCTTCTACCATAAGGACTATAGGAGATCCGGCCGGCCGGCCTTGTTGGTGGAATCGAATTCTGATTCTTCTCTTTATTATTATGTTCTTCAGACGGATGTGGAGTTTCTACACCCAGGAGCATTTGCTCCTGGTGTGAACAGTAAAATCGGAAAAATTTAAAAATAATTCAAAAAATTCTGAATTTTTTTTGTGGCATACTTTCACAAATGTTTGTTGTGCATGCAAAATTTCATCGCAAAATCACATTGGTAGAAGGCGTGGTAAAATAAACAAAATCGATGCTCTAAAAATGTTACTTACAAAAGCATTTTGGAGCTCTGATTTTGTTATTTTTTGGCACGACTTCCACCAATGTGATTTCATGATAAAATTTTGCATGCACAACAAACATTTGTGAAAGTATGTCACAAAAAAATTCAGATTTTTTAATTTTTTTTCTATTTTTTTTATTTTACTGTTCACACCAGGAGCATTTGCTCCTGGGTGCAGAAATGTACTTTCGTCGACTCACGCTGGAGATGGTATACGACTGATTTGCAGGTTTTAGTAAGATAGTTGAGGAATGCACGCGCAACGGATTTTATTTTGTGCTTTTCGTCTCTTGATTGATTCTTGTGAGCCCAAATGCCCCGATCATCATTAGACCGTACACACCAAAAGAGATTTTGTATTACCTAATGGATCCAACCTGTAGACAGCTAGATAGTTGCTCTGAAAAAAATCCTATGAAACGGTACACTCTGTTGTTGTTGGGCTCGTCTTGTATTCAAACCCCTGTAATTTTGTTACACTTCGAAACCATCTTTTCGTGTAATCATGCGTGCCTGAGGCAACCATAACATCTACTGATCCACAAGAAAAACAAATATGGATATGCTTGGTTGATCTACTAAATATATTTATACTGGAGTTGTGGGCAGCAACTTCACAGCTACGCGGGCTATGGAGATGGTATATTTATACTGGAGTTATGGACAGCAACTTCACAGCTAGGCGGGCTATGGACCATCTCCAGATCATATAAACCAGACAAAGATCTATCCACAGTTAACACCATTTATTTGCGCAATACTTGCACTTAACACAATGAAATATAAGCTAGCTTTACATTATCCTCAATTTCCAATCAAATGCCCAGTTTAACCTCGGGCATTTACATGCATTACATGGTACAGACTTGTAAGCGTGTCACTCCATCTCAATATAGTACACGAGAGCTATTTATTTATCAGGACGCCGTTGGCTTGGGCAACCTCTTCGCGATTTCCTGTCCCATGAACAAAGTATTATTAGGTGTGCGTTGACGACAAAAATTAAGTACACATATGAAGCTTAATGAAAAGTTAACACAAGGGAATCATTTGGAAAAATATGTGTGTCATACTGTTTGCCAAAATTCAACTGAGAACGAGCATATCAAAATGAGATGGACATGGATTGACATTGATGATCTGATGCAGTTTCTTTCATTGATAATGATTTGTTTCACAAGAAACTTCAAAAATTCAAGGAATTCAAGGGTTTGTAATGTTGCTAGCTTGATTATTTTGCTAGAATACCACTAGCAATAATCAGTAGGGTTTGTTATGTGCTAGCTTTACTCGTTTCTTTTCCTCTTCTGCATTACGTGTAACCAAATAGCCTCCTCAGAGGGCATACCTCAAATACTTGATTTATATTATCAGATGTTTTTGCTGACGTCTCCATGAATAACATGCTGTTCTTCTCTGCATACTCTTGTGCCTCCTTCAGAAAGTGTACAGCATCATCAGATAATTTTACAGCACATTAAGTATTTATCCCAACTTCACCGTGCAGTGTAAAACAGTACCTGAGAAGGTACACTTCGACTTTCATGTAGATCAGCTTTATTACCAACCAATACCATGACAATACCAGGACTACCATGTTTTTGAAGTTCCTGCAGGATACGGAATAGAAAAGGAAATTACGAATACAAACAATTCAATCTCAAACCAAAAAGAAACAGTGGGAAGCATAACTGAATTCACAACTCTATGATACTCTATTATAATCAACAAAATAATATTTGTCAGGTGTGCGCAGAAGTAAATCGAAAGCGCTTCGATTATGCTCATTTGCAATGTTGGTAAGTCGTAATTCTTCAAATAGTGGATGGTAATCTCCAATATACTTCTAGTCTATCAGCAGTCATACAGTACAATACAGACCTTCACTACAGTAGAGTTTTGAGCACATATACAAATCCAGCACTGAAGGAAAGAACAACAAAGTCGATCCACAAAACATCAGAATAAAGAGACTTAGCATAGTTTACCTTCACCCAATATTGTGCTTTCTTGAATGATTCTGGACTAGTTATGTCATAGACAACAACTGCAGCAGCAGCTCCTCTGTAGTAAAGAGGTGCCAAGGCAGCATATCTGAAATTGAAAAGTTCCCACATTAGTCCTGATTTATTGGTTGAAAAAGAAATGCATGTGGGTGCAACCAAGTAAAAATTTCATGCGGCATATTACTAAGACTGTGGAGAAAACATAAACAATGCTTTTCACCTCATCAACAACATGTTATTACCTAACATTATATAGGATAACTAAAGCACCAGATATGTACCTCTCTTGTCCAGCAGTATCCCAGATTTCAAACTTCACTATTGTCGAATCCTCCAACGCCAATGTTTGTGATAAAAATGATGCACCAACAGTTACCTAAATTATTTACAAATAACTTAAATAATGGAGCTTATGGAGCGAGGGAATTGCATTGAAGGTGAAAGTAACATTTTCATGTGCAGCTCAGTCACACCTTGGAAGTTGGATCGAACTGACCGCGGACAAACCGAAGAACGATGCAGCTTTTTCCAACACCAGAATCTCCGAGCAATACCAACTGCAACATGAAGACAATGGAAACATCAAACAGAGTCACTAAGTCATTTGACGCGGTAAAATGTGTTCAGCAGGGCCGACGATGCAATAAATGGGTTGATTGACGTAAAGAGAGTGTGCAATCATCCATATGCATAAATATGTCAAGCAGAACCTCCGGTCCAACCGTCCAAGCAACTAGCGAGTTTGATAACTTTCTAGTTCATTTCTTCTTCTTTTTGGCTCAAGTTTTTGCTCTCTTGATTAGGTTTGCTAGTTTCTGGTTTGTTGTTCTTTTGGTATTCTGGTACAGAAATATTTCTGCTTCTGTTATATCGGCACACTATCAAGAGAGAATCACATTCACAGAATGAACAAAATAGGAGTCCCCAAAAACAAGGCCACTGTGACATATTTTGTGTAAGATGAGAAAATGTTTCACGCAATGTGACCCTTTTAAGGTTGCCAAAACATGTAAATGCAACAAATGGTATGGCTAACATCTCATGTGGAATATATTGATTGCACAGAACATGCAAACAAGCGCAATGTGGCACCTTGGTCCTGGACTATGGCCCTGTTTGTTTCAGCTTCGCTTGGATTTTAATCACCTGTGGATTCGCTTCAGTGGCGACTGGCGAAGCTGATTCGCGGCCACCGAAGTACACTTTGAGGTGCTTCAGGAAATTGCACAAAATATGGCCCAAATCCAGATTCAGCTTCACTGGCAAAGCTGATTCCAAATAGATGTTTGTTTCAGATTCCAGATTAGGCTTCACCGGCAAAGCTGAATTTGGTCCCAGAATCCAAAACAAACAGGGCTATGCCTATTCTAAAAAAACCATCCACGCGGAAATAAGCTAAATGTATGCATATATACTGCTACAATGGGGATCAGTGCTACTCAGCATAGTGGTACCCTGATATGTGCGTTACACCACATTAATTGTGAATTAGTTAGAGCAGTCAGATGAAGCAGTTGACAGCTTTTTATTTGATTAGTCGCAGAAATAACCAAATCAGTACAGTATGACCCCAGTTATCCTACATTTCAAATGTTGAGCTGAGCAGTCGCATAATTCCAACCTTGTACCCAGTGGCGGAGCTTCGAAGAAAATGTTGGGCGGGCCAAACTAAAGAGAGCACAATGCTTTCTTAAAATTCTGCATCGTAGGCAGTAGTATATGATATTACATGGGTACCTACTAATACCTACATTGCAATTTTTAAAATGCAATGAACAACCGAGTGAATAAAATCAGGGAATAAAATCGCTAAGCTACCACGTAACACATGTGGTAAGCAATCCAAACTGTTTGTAAACAAATTTGAAAATCGCTAAGCCGGAATTTTGGAAAACAAAATAGATTGCATGTGATGTCTTGCACACTGCCTCCTGCCTTGCTGCTGGAGGGCTGGACCTCGTGGCACTGATGTGAGTAGGGTTCCTGGTGGGTGATAGCTGCTCCTTGTTGTGTATGTGCGGCGGCAAGCCTGCTAGTGTTACTGTGTTGACCTAGTGCCTCTGTTGCGCTGCTCAATACTCGAGCGAGAGGAAATGGAGCGTTCAGGCTGGATCGATCATGTAAAGGGGATGCGAAGTGTGCGTGGTGAACTGCAGCCAGGTGGTGGGCTGGGCAACGTAGCAAGCATGGGTAAAAAAATATGTGCAAAAATCCTGGGCGGGCCATGGCCCGGTTGGGCCCTAACTAAACTCCGCCCCTGCTTGTACCCCAGAGCTTCTACACAACAAAATGATTTCTGGTTTCACACATATACCAGAAAATATAGATATTACAGTACATACAAGTAGACAATAGAGCCGCAATTAACATATTTCTAATGTATTTTACTGAAGGGATGTATAGTAGGAGTACATATGAAATAGTTGTCTCAAGTTTAGTTCGCCTGTTAGACTATGAAACGAAAATACCATTACGTTCTAAGTCATATACACTACACCCACAGGAAATTACCCAGGTCTCAAGATTGTCGGAAAAAAAAACACTAGCTATGTTTGGAATGCTGTTTCCAGGATTTTGTATATCTGAATCTGGTCAGAGGCCATCCTGTCTATATAACCGTGCAGTGGGTATCAAATGTTGGCTGTAATGTCATACAAATGTGAAACTACAGTTACAATTGCTTGTGCCGATACCACAAGCAATGTGAATAAAAGCAGCCGAAAAGAATAGAAAAGGTACCTTGGCACGCAAGTCATTTGAATCAGCAGCAGAAGAGCTACCGTTGATATTGTTCAGCCCTCCGGTGCTTCTAGCTGCAAGACAAAAATAGTTGTGTGTTAAAACATGACGCTAAAGTGGGCAAGTGCCTAATTCTTCTGCCCCAGCTGCAAACTACCCCACTCCCGACTCGTATACACCCACACACCGACCTTTCATTTGCGAATAGATAGCACGAAGACGCGCCGTTCCAAGGAATCAACAAATCTACCACTAAGCAGCGCTCCAAACCCTAGAAATTAAGAAAATGTGTGGCCGAACGACAGACGCCGTGGCCTGGGGCACTAATCGGGGTCCAAATTAAACCTCCCACAGAACATCACGGACCCTCTAACCTAAACTCCGGC